GGGTGATCATTTGTGACTGCCAAATTCTTGGTTTTTTTTGCAATTAGTGATTTATGTCTTAAGTTTCAAATAAAAATATATAAATGAAGAGTTTAAACTATAGGTAAATAAATGAACTGTCTTAAAAAGTAAAGAAGTAATTTTGTAAAGTAGAGTCAGTTCACATTGCTTCACATAACAGATTTTGCACTGCATTCAATTATTCCTTTCTTTTCTAATTCCGCAACTCATTAAACCAAGAAATGAAACGAGACCAAAAAAAATTTGGTTCACTTCTACTCCTTTCTCTCCATTCGAATAGACACTTATCTTTCAAACAGGATTAAGAGAACTAAAAATCAATACATTGTATGTCATATTTCATTCATATATAGAAATGCAGGACACATGTTTTTAAAACTCTTAATCCACTTTCGATTTCTTTTCTCCCATGCATTGAAGTTCCATTTGATAGTAATACACAGCAATAAGAAAAGCAAAGAAAATTGACATGATGAACAAAATTGCAGGGCTTAAACTGTAAACAAATAAATGAACTGCCTTGAAAGAAAATAGAAAATGAGTGTTTTTTTTTGTTTTGTAATAATTTTACTTTCTTTGAGCATATTATTAATCAAAAATCAAAGCCATATTTTGTTTACGAGGATAATAATAAAAAGTAAAAAATTCCTTAGAAAATCATGCCTATAAAAAGTTGATAATTTTTAGTTGATAAAGAAAACACATAAAGAGCCAGTAGTTTAAGGGGAAAAGGGTTTCCTTACTTTTATATGCAAGTATCAAACACTTATTGTTTCATTTTTTTTCTAGTCACTTGTATGCGATTTAAAATGTAAACACTTAATTATGAAATAAAGGCTTTTAAAACTTATGATATAGACAATTGGTTGTAATACAAGAGTTTTTAATTTTTTTTCTTTCTTTTTTGATTCCGTAGCTTGTTACACCAAGAAATGAAACGAGACAAAACAATTTGGCTCATTTCCACTTTCTCTCCATTCAAATAGACACTTATCTTCCTAACGGAACTAAGAGAACTAAAAATCAATTCATTGTATATCGTATTTCATTCATGTGTAAAAATACAAGGCACATCTTCTTAAAACTCTTAATCCACTTTCATCTTCTTCTTATCTCCATGCATTAAAGTTCCATTTGATAGTAATACATGGCAGCAAGAAAAACAAGGAAAACTAATAACATGAAAAATAAAATTGAAAGGGCTTAAACTGCAGACAAATAAAAAAACTGCCTTGAAAAGAAAATAGAAAATGAGTGTGTTTTTTTTTTTGTTATGTAATAATTTTGTTTTCTTAAGTATATTATTAATCAAAAATCAAAGCCATATTTTGTTTACAAGGATAATGATAAAAAGTAAGAAAACCTATTGTAGGTATGATGAAAGGTCAAAAATTCCATTTTAGAAAATCATGCCTATAAAAAACTGATAATTTTTTTTCAATAAAGAAAACACATAAAGAGCTGGTAGTTCATGGGGATCAGTTAGAAAAGCCATAAAGAACTAGTAGTTTATGGGAAAAAGGTCCTTTACTTTTATATGTAACTATCAAGCACTCATTGTTTCTTTTTTTCTTAAAGTCATTTATATGTGATTTAAAATGTAAACACTTAAAAGGCTGACAATTATTTTCCTGCCATTTGTATATAATCAAAACTATTTTTGTTTTCATGGAATTGGAATTTGGTCTTTTTTTGTCTATATTAGTTAGAATTATTTATAAAGAATCAAAATAAAATTGATGTTAAGTTGGCGAAAAATACAAATACTTAGGTGATCTATATTTTCTGTGAAGTTGAACAGAGTTGTTAAGTATACTATATTTTTTTGTTTTGCCTATTTTTTATTAATACGCTTTATTTTAAAAGAATTGTTGCTACCCAAAAAAAGACGCTTTCATTTTTATTCATGTATCAATTTGTTGTTTAAGTAGCTCTTAATTCATTTTGAACTCTGCTGATTCTTTAATGCGTATCCCATTTGTTATAAAACTTTGTTGATTCATTAGTAATGCTTCGATCCACTCTCTGTACAGTGTACTGAATCTGTACTATTTTGGTAGACCTCAGCTCCACTTCATCCTCAGTAGAGCCACAGAAGTTAGTAATTTTTATTTGATAAAGAAAGCACATAAAGAGCTAGTAGTTTATGTGGAAAAGGGTTCTCTTACTTTTATATGTAACTATCAAGCACTTATTGTTTTTTTTTTTCAGTCATTTATATGTGATTTAAAATGTAAACACTTAATTATGAACTAAAAGCTTTCAAAGATCCATTCCTTTCAGACTTTATTAATAATCAGCATACTTTTTTCTGCATAAATTACTATTTTTATTACTTCAAAATTGAGTAGGGTATTTTACACTTTCATCGTGGGAAGCGTGTTATGCCTTCTAGAATTAATGAAACTTGGCATAGATAACCCACGATCAATAAATCACGCCAACTACTCCCAATTTCCTTTCCCTTTGTTCTCTCTAGGTGTCTTTCATTCAAGTTTCGTGAAGAAAAATGCATGTTTCATCCCTATTACTTGGGAATTGGACTATTTTGGTATCCATTGTTTCGGCAGAAACACATTTCGTCTTTTAAATTTGGATTTTTGACCAATTAAGTTTTTTGATAATTAATTACTCAATTTAAGCTTAAGTTGATAATTAATCACTCAATTTGAGCTCAAAAGTTGGTTGCTAATTATTGTAAAAACATTAATTTGCTAGTCAATTGTAAAACATCTTCTCTGCCTTTTTGCTAACCTTTTTCCCTTTTCAGACAAATTTTTTCTTTCTCTTTTGGAGCCTAGCCTGCCTTCCTCTAATTTATTTTCCTTTATTTTAAATAATAATCTCTCCAGGATATTTTCTGGCGGGAATATTTTCTCTCAGAAGATTTCTTAGTGAGAGTTTTTATCTCTATTGGATTTTTCTATTGAGTTTTGTTTTGTCTAAGAACTTCCTTCTGAGAGCTTTTCTTATTTTTTATTAGATTTAAGATTTATTGTATTTGTTTCGTTAGATCTAGAAATTCTTAAGTCTGTTATGTCAGATCTAATGTTTTTCCTAGGCCAAATCTGTTGCACATCAAATCTGACAGTTCATGACATGCACAGAACGAAGCTAGAATGATTCACGTGATTAGAATATGCTTTGGAATTTCATGGTGTTATTCTTTTTAGAGCAAATTATCCGGATGGCCATTAAACTTTTGCAATCGTCGAATTTTGGTCACTAAATTATTAAATATCTGGTTTTGGCTACTAAAATATCTAAAGTTAAGACTCGAAACCATTCCGTTAGATTTGTATTACAAAGATGTGTGAATAGTCTTGTTTTGTTCAACTTGATCTAATATTAATCATCAATTTGTATTACATATTTTAGATGTTAAATAAATTAAAAGCGTAAGTACAAAAATAAGTGACAATTATAGCTTTAGATTTAGACAAAAAAAATGAATAACATAATTAGCTAGTTTTGAGTGATAAAAAATCACTGACCGTCACTCAAATTAATAATGATGCAAGTGTTCTTCTTTTAAACCTTCTCATCCTCCCTCACACCCTCTCAACCTGAACTGTCAGACTTAAGATTTAAATTATAAACCTGAAGAGCTCTTTTTTGACCATTGAACCAACCCAAGTGGTTTAATAGTGATACAAGTATTCATTTGATGATTCCTAAAATTTGTCCCTCCCACTAAAGTATCATTTCTCAAATTTGTATCACTCACTAAAGCTTTCTTTCTTTAATTTTTTCAACTTTATTTCAAGTCTGTTATCAGTGATGTTTTAAAATTTATTGATACAAATATATTGAATTATACCAAACAAGATTTCTGCTACCTCTACATAAATAATTTTCTCAAACTTATGTGTTTAACAAAGATTAATAGTTTTGATTATTTCTAACAAACAAAATAAGTACTTTGTAACTTTACATAACCATTATGTGGAGCCCAAATTTCAAAACCCAAAAAAAAACAAGTAAGCCCATTAAATTTACTTCGGGTAAGACACAATAGATTTTCGAGCAAGGCATCAGAAACGGTTCTTTCTGGGGGTTTGGGTACTATTAAGAAGAAGAAGAATTGACTTATTTATGTGGATAGGAAGACTTTTACGAGGAGATCATATCCGTACTTTATCTTATTAGTTTCAATCTATAAATTTCTCGTGTTACTGCTCTAATGTCCAATCTTTTGCTTTACTGTAGAAATCTCCCAATTGAATTGAAACCAGTCATGAAAATGTGTTAAACAATTTCAGAGTGCGCAACTATTCACACATACGGCATCGTGATTAGAGACTTCTAATTTTCTATTAATGGTTTTTGTTGATGGTCTCATATAATTCAACATGAATAGCTACCATGTTTTCATCGTTGGCATAAGAATTAATCAATATTTGAAGTGTATAAGATAATGTAAGGCAAAATAATTCTTGCTACAGTTTACAAGACATGAATAAACTATAATATAGAAATCAATCAAATTGTAAAAACATCCTATTATATCAGGAAATTAATTGTACAATCAAATAGTGGAGTAGGTACTAAAAGGTGTTTAGTTTGTAATTAGCAAGTCTAACATCAATTCACATAAATTCAAACAGAAAGTCTAAAACTCAATTCGATAATTTCCTACTGTATCTTCTTTAAGAATGGTACGAAAATTAAATTTTTTGAATAAATTTTCTTTGACTTTCCCCGCAATTTCGTTCAAATTGTCTTCTGTAAGATCCATAATCCTAACTTTGCTCCTTTCTCTTGTAATTTCTTTCAAATTGCCAAACAAATTCACAATTGAATCAGTAGTCTTGTTGGTGAATTCCTTCACATACTCCACATGAATTTTAATTCTTTACCTTTCCAACTCGAATTTCAAAACTATGAATTTATTATTTGCAACTAACAAGAAAAGAAGGCGATAAGAGTAAGTCTAACATATTTATTCAATGACTTTAAAGGCTATACAATAGAGTTAATTAGAAAAAAGAACACTAACATATATTTTAAAATTACTAACATAATCAGTTTAACACGGTTCTCAGTAGTAGCAAGTCTAGTTTTATTCGCAAAGTGCACTGCCTCATAATTGTCGCATTGCACTAACAACTTCTTATATTGCTTATAATGCCCTTGTGCAACAAAATACTGTAAAGTTTTAATAGTAGCTATGAACTCTACATCAAAAATATTTTTCGCGTCCTCAACAATATCAGTCCATCTCTTATCTTCTATGAAAGAGAGATGATTTCTGTATAATCCTCCATAATACTCTTTACCGACAGGACCACCAGAATTGAATATACCATCTACAGAACATGTCAACTCCCTAAAAAATAAAAATATTTTCACTTTTATCAGCCCCAAAACATCAAAATAAGTATAAGAAACAGCAATCCACTATTTCCTTTATCCACATGATTATCAAGATTAAATATACCATCTACAAAACATGTGAACTCCCTAAAAAGTAAATATATTTTCACTTTTATTAGTCCCAAAATATCAAGATGATTACAAGAAATAACAGAATAAGAAACTTATTTCTCATCTTGTGATCCTTCCTATTTTGCAATATTTAGGGGTCTCGTCAACTTATTCATAGGTGCATCTACATCGTGCACCACTTGAATGTTACATTTCTTTATCAAATTGCACAAGACTCATCTTTTTTCACAAGGCACGGAAACGAGCCGCTGACACCAACTGTCTAATGAGATGACTATGGCCTGGAGTTTTCTGTGATATTCATTGTTGGATGTGATGAAACAAGTTTCATTGTGTATTTGACCTCCAACTCTAAAGTCGTTTGCTTAGACTAAACGACACTTCAACTAGAGTGTTTGCACTTCAATCGATATTTTCCATGCCTTTAGTTAGTCTACAGCTTTTCAGAATATCATATGCTGAACTCTTGATTGATGAAAAGCTAATCATTTACATATATGATAATTATCTTAAACTACCTATTTGTCTATGAGATTTTTTTCATGCACCTACGATGTCTGAACTATGGCCATGTTCATTAATTAATTTTCTTTAGAATATTAGTTATTTCCTGTTGTTCAGTACTTTTTTTTCTTTTTTTGTTGCTTTAGATAATGAAAGCGGTTAAAATGCAATACCTCTTAAACTTAAGAAAAGTAGACCTTTCTTTAAGCCTTGGGTGCTTGACTCTAATCTTCAACTTTTGTTCCAATTGAAATGTTCTTTATGTTTTTGTCCTATAGTATCCATGGCCTTGACAATTGTTCGGCGTTTATTGCGCAACATCATACCAACCCAAGATTAGTCATTGCTTTTATAACATGAGAAAACTTTTTAACGGTCGATAATCTTATGGTCTAACAAAGAAAGAAACAAAAAGGATGGAAAGGGTGAGAGCAAAATTAAAGAATAAAGTTAGAGAGGAAATGATGGGTATTGATTATATATTCATTTTTTCTTGATATAGGCTTGAATTTGTTTGTAAAGCATGCTAATCTTTAAAGTAACTCAAGTACTTCACAGCCTATACATGGTGAGAAAGAGATGAAAGATGGTAACATTTTAGAAAATTTTAAGACATTGGTAATTTATATAATTTACGAGTTGTGGTCAAAAAGACTAACAATATATGACTATATTATTAATATATGTTCAAGTGTCGTTTTATTCTATGCAAATAGGGATGTGCATCGAATTCAAAATCGGTAATTTGAAAGTTTAAATTCGAAATTTTGGTATCTGATAATTTAACCAAATTCGATTTCAAATTCACCAATTCCGAATTCATACCGAATTCAATTCGGAATTCGGTAAATTTCGATTTCACCGAATTTGAAAAAAAATTATATATTATTATATAATATAAAATTTATTATTTAATATTATATTATATAAATTTTATAATATTTTATAATATAAGTTATATATTACATGTATAAAAATATATTTATATATTAAAAATGAATTTGAAATCGAAATTGAAATTCGAATTCCGATTTCGAATTATGAATTATGAATTTGAAATTGAAAATTTCAATTTGAAAAATTCTATTACCGAATTCGAACCAAATTTGAAATATATGAATTCGAAAAATCCGAATCCGATTCCGAATTTCGATTTACCGATTTCGAAAATTCTAAATTTGGTCGGTAAATCGAAATTTTTTGATTTTGGACACCTCTATAAGTAAATGACATTAAAGTTGGAGGTCAAATACACAATGGAGCTTGTTTCGCCGCATCCAACAATGAACATCACAGAAAGCTCCCCACCTATAGTCATCTCATTAGACAATTGGTGTCGGTGGCTCGCTTCCGTGTCTTGTGAAAAAAGACGAGTCTTGTGCAATTTGATAAAGAAATGCAACATTTAAGTGGTGCACAATGTAGATGTACCTGTGAAGAAGTTGACGAGACCCCCAAGTATTGCAAAATGGGAAGGATCACAAGATGAGAAGTAAGTTTTTTATTTTGCTATTTCTTGTAATCATTTTGATGTTTTGGGATAAAGTGAAAATATTTTTACTTTTTAAAGAGTTCACATGTTTTGTAGGTGGTATATTCAATCTTGGTAATCCTGTGGGTAAAGGATATAGTGCATTGCTGTTTCTTATACTTATTTTGGTGTTTTGGGGCTGATGAAAATGAAAATATTTTTACTTTTTAGGGAGTTGACATGTTCTGTAGATGGTATATTCAATCTTGGTGGTCCTATGGGTAAAGGGTATTATAGAGAATTATACAAAAATCATCTCTCTTTCATGGAAGGCGAAAGACGAACTGATGTTATTGATGACATGAAAAATATTTTTGATGTAGAGTTCACAGCTATTATTGAAACTTTACAGTATTTTGTTGCACAAGGCATTCTAAATAATACAAGAAGCTGTTGGTGCAGTGTGACAATTATGAGATAGTGCACTTTGCGAATGGAACTAGACTTGCTAATATTGAGCACCGTGTTAAACTGGTTATGTTAGTAGTTTTAAAATATATGTTAGTGTTCTTTCTGCTAATTAACTCTATTGTATAGTCTTTAAATAAATGTGATAGACTTACTCTCATCATTTTCTTTTTTTGTTGGTTGTAAATAGCAAATTCACAACTTTGAAATTCGAGTTGAAGAGGCAAGGAATTAAAGTTCCTGTCCAGTATGTGAAGGGATTCACCAACAAGGCTGCCGATTCAATTGTAAATTTGTTCAACAATTTGAAAGAAGCAAAAGTACGAGAGAAAGTAGGCAAAGTCAGGACCATGAATCTTACAGAAGACAATTTGAGCGAAATTGCGGGAAAACTAAAAGAAAATTTATTGAAAAAATGTAATTTTCGTACCATTCTTAAAGAAGATGCAGCAGGAAAGTATCCAATTGAGTTTTAGACTTTTGGTTTGAATTTATGTAAATTGATGTTAGATTTGCTAATTGCAAATTAAACACCTTTTAGTACCTACTAGGGGTGTGCAAAATCGAAAAATTTCGATTTAACGATCGAATTTTAATTGAATTCGGAATTTTCGAAATCCTTAAATCGGAAATTTGAATCGAATTCGGATTTTTCGTATTCATATATCTCGAATTTGGTTCGAATTCGGTAATGGAGTTTTTCAAATCGGAATTTTCGATTTCGAATTTCGATTTTGATTTCAAATTCGTTTTTAATATATAAATATTTTTTATACATGTAATATAAAATTTATATAATATAATATTATATTATATTATATTATAAATTTTATATTATATAATAATATATAAATTTTTCCGAATTCGGTGAAATCGGAATTTATCGAATTTCAAATTGAATTGGTTACAAATTCAAATTCGGAATTGATGAATTCGAAATCGAATTTCGAATTCGGTTGAATTATCAGATACTAAAATTTCGAAAAATTTCGAATTCAAACTTCCGAATTACCGATTTCGAATTCGATGCACACCCCTAGTACCTATTCCACTCTTTGATTGTACAATTAATTTCCTGATATAATAGGATGTTTTTATAATTTGATTTATTTTTAAATTATAGTTTATTCATGTCTCATAAACTGTAGCAAGAATTATTTTGACTTACATTATCTTATCCACTTCAAATATTGATTAATTCTTATGCCAACGATAAAAACATAGTAGCTATTCATGTTGAATTATACGAGACTATTAACAGAAATCATTAATAGAAAACTAGAAGTCTCAGAACACGATGCCGTATGTATGATATAGTCGTGCACTCTAAAATTGTTCAACATATTTTCATGATTAGTTTCAATTCAATTGGGAGATTTCTACAGTAAAGTAAAATATTGGACATTAGAACAGTAACACGAGAAATTTATAGACTGAAACTAATAAGATAAAAGATGAATATGATCTCCTTATAAAAGCCTTCCTACCCGCATAAATAAGTCCATTCTTCTTCTTTTTAATGGTACCCGGACCCCCAAAAAGAATCGTTTCTGGTGCCTTGTCTGAAAACCTATTGTGCATTGCCCGAAGTAAATCTAGTGAGTTTGCTTATTTTTTTGTGACTTTGGGATTTGGACTCTAAATAATGGTCAGGTAAAATTACAAAGTACTTATTTTGTTTGTTAGAAATCATCAAAACTATTAATCTATGTTAAATACGTAAGTTTGGGAAAATGATTTATGTAGAAGTAGCAGAAACCTTGTTTGGTATAATTCAATATACTTTTATCAATGAATTTGAAAACATTGCTGATAATAGACTTGAAATAAAACTGAGGAAATTAAAGAAGGAAAGCTTTAGTGAGTGATACAAATTTGAGGAATGATACTTTAGTGGGAGGGACAAATTTTAGGAATCATCAAATGAATACTTGCATCACTATTAAACCACTTGAGTTGGTCCAGTTGTCAAAAAAAAGCTCTTCAGATTCATAGTTCAAATTCTAAGTCTGACAGTTCAGGTACAAAGGGTATGGGGGAGAATGAGAGGGTCTAAAAGAAGACCACTTGCATCACTATTAATTTGAGTGATGGTCAATGGTTTTTAGTCACTCAAAACTAACTAATTATGTTATTCATTTTTTTGTCTAAATCTAAAACTATAATTGTCACATACTTTTGTGCTTCTGTTTTTAATTTATTTAACGTCTAAAATATGTAATACAAATTCATGATTAATATTAAATCAAACTGAAGAAAACAAGACTATTCATACACCTTTGTTTACGTGACATTTCTCTCAAAATGAGTATTAAGGTCGTTTTCATTCTAGAATTTCTCTCAACCAACCTTTTTTTTCATCTCATTCCTTTGTATAGCCTTAAAGTCTAAAGAGAATATTAGCGCCAACCAAAAATAGAGAATCACAATAAAATAAAGGGGACAAACAAGAATATAACATTATTCCAAATAATTGGCCGTCCAATAGAGCCAGCGTTATTAATATAATGGCTATAATTCTTTCAATTTACGATAAAGTAGGCAAAATGCTTCATGCAGAATCTTTTTTTTTTAGTGAATAAAGTTCATATTTAATATGAAACTAGTGAAAGGATCCCAATGAAGGAATTATTAATCTTATCTCCCAAATTAAAGTTCACATTTAAGCATTTTCTTGCAGAAGTAATAGAGTTGTTAATATAGTGACTAAAGTTCATGGTTAAATGATCTACTAAAAATAGTTCGTAGTTCATCTGAACCAAGTGATTCAATACTCTAGCAAACAAAATTTTCCAATGGTTAAATACTCCAAATGAATAGTGGCTCCATGAGAATGGGCAAAGTTTTCAATTTAGTTGAAATGTTTGAAAATTTTGTTTGTATACCAATAATAATATTTCCTATTCATCACAAAATTATTTGAATATCGACCAAACTTTTGAATAAATAACTCTTATCTCTTACTGCTTATTCTGTACTACAAATATGTACTTCATTTTTCACAGAGAGTTTATAGCTACATTTGTTTTATGATCATTTACCTTCTAAAGGATTAACTAAGAAAATAACAATTAGACCTCCCATTGGATTTGTACCTTCTAAAGCATTAACTAAGAAAAGAAAAAAAAAAATTAGACCTCATCTTATCTATCTTAGGATAGTTCTTTTTCGTCTTATATATTGGACTAATACATTTTAAGGTTCAATACAGGCACAGATCCTACTATGGTCCCCATATCCACAATGTATATCTCTTTTAGGCATAAACTTGTGCCTAATCCTATCAATCACAGTCTCTATAATCTCATACCATTACGCTATCCTATGATGACATGTGACCTCGGTTTACTATCCACAAAAATAGTATAGTCTATGTTGGTATTGATACCCTATCGATTGCTCACCCCTCTTACTGCTTAAATGAGCTGCAAAGACGTCACAAAAGCCTTTTGAAAATGTGAAATAAATTTGTCAATAAAATAGTTAATGTTCCAACACTTATATATTAATTTTTATTTTCTGATATTAAAAATTTCCATCCTATAGCTCTTGGCAAGCATTTATATTGTTGAATCTTATCTTCGGAAAACTCAACACGTCAATGTGATTCATGATAACAAAATACATTAGTTTGATCATGACCTATCCATATGTTTTGATTCAGAATGGTCTAACAAAGCACTTTTTAGGAAAATATTTGTAGTTGTCAAACCCCTGAAAAAGCAGGAAAATTATAATGAACAGGTATGAAAGACGAAGCTTACCACCAAATTTGACAAGTAAGACAGCAGTTTTAAAACCCAAGCGGCGAACCTCTGTTTAATCCCGACAGCCGGATTTAATGCTCGAAATCCATCCATCCACCTAAACAACAAAGAGGGAAAACCAATGAGAAAATGAACAAAAAATTAAAGACCATGTCCAGGTACTGAACCAGATACTTGATTAACAGATTTTGACAACTAATTAACGTAAAAATCAAGCCAGACCTGCAACTCAGCAACACAGTCACCTTCATCTAATCATTATGAAAGAATTCATCAAATCCATAGTTGGAAAGAATTCATGAAATTATCGTGTCTATTATCTTTTCTTTTTTGTGTGCAGCAGACCGGTAGTTGGTTGACACCTGATAGTGCTCTCTTCTGTAATGGCCACATCCCCCCCGTTCATCATCCCACCACAGATCATAAGTTGGACTTCAGAAGAACTGGATAGGGTAATTGAGTTCTGTTCCTCCCTAACTATCGGCACAGACATGATGCAAAGCGGGGCTTGGAGATGGCTAGACGAGCCAATCAGAAGAACTGTAAAATATCAAATCGCGAGAAGATCAGGAATAAGAGACAAGAAGGTTATAAAAGCGGTGAAGAATTCAGGATTCATCCTGGTAGCAGAGAGACGGGTCAAGGTTTCTTGCTGGGATGCAATGAAGGTTCTAGTCTGCCAAGAGCAAAGCAGGGAAGAAGATGGAACGAGAGAAAACTGGGGAAAGGAAACTCTCAAGGACTGCTATGAAATTAACCATATCTATTTCTATTATTTACTATCTATACAGTCAAAGCATTTTACTATCTATTTCTATTATTTCAGCCAAGTCCAGGACTTAAGTGAAAATCCAAAAACGAAGAAAGAAGAAGAGGTATAAAGTAGTCAAATAGTCTTTCTTTTTCACGTGTCATATCAGCAGATATAATAAATGAAACTATATATTTTTACATTGAACAGAAAAGTGGACACAAAATATTAGATGGAGGATCCCGTCTGCGAGGATAATTAGTATTAGGGTTCATTAAGCAGAAACTTTAGTGCAAGCTGATACAAGGGGTATGATGTGAATTTTTTTTTTTGTCACTTTTTTATTTTTCCTTATTTATCATTCACTAAAATGCTAAATAGAAGAACCCTCCAACAACCATAAATAATTCTTTTAGTTTAACTATATGAAAAAAACGACAACATTACAGCCTAATAAAAATTTTGAATAACTGCTCGCTATTTTTCCTTTCATTTAATTTGCGCACACATATATAAGGCGTACATTTCCCACCCGTCATTATATTTACTCGGAACAAAACACGACCAGTACAGGTCATTGATCCCAGCTGTCCTCTCCCCCAAAGAAGAAGAAGAAGAAGAAGAAGAAGAAGAAGAAGAAGAAGAAGAAGAAGAAGAAGGCCTCCGCTGAGTAGTCTGACTGAAGAGTGGTACCAGCAATAGTAAGGGTTTAATGATAGGAATTTTGTGTTTATGGGCAGAAATTTTTAGGATGCAGAATTTCGTTTTACTAAAACTACTTTTTTAAGGAATAGATGAGAGATTTAGCAGATTTTCGTTTTTGTGCAATGATGTGTTCTGTGTATCATACACATTTCTTCTGTCCAGCTTTTATTTTAGCGTACATATATAATAAGGGATGTAAATAAATGTCACTCAAAAGAAAAAAAAGCACTACCCAGGCAATGTTGTGTACCCTCTAAATTGTACGGTGCAATTATTTGCACACTACTCTTTCAACTGTCAACCATTAGCAATTATTTGTACTTGACCGCGTCAATCGACTTTCTTCATCCACATGGGATGACTGTCCAGTTTGGATTGTCATTTTCCATCAGAATGATCGAAATTGTGTCGGTCTTCGGAGTTATATATTTTTTATTATTTTTTTTTATATACATCAAATTATTATAGTTATTTTTTTATAAAAAATACAATTCATACGGACACGCACATGAACCTTACGTGAAAAAAAAATGAAAAACCCACTATTGATTTTACTTGAGTTTTTTTTTATCTTTTTTGGGGTGTCTAATTCCTCTCATCTCCACTCAGCCTCAGTTCCTTACGTGGCACTATGTCATACACACGCACATACTTCCATCACCATACCTACCACTTCACCGCGTCAATCAACTCTCATCTGCAGAGAGACGACGATATGTCCCGACAGAAGTGTCTGTCTGTGTACTGTCACAAGACTAGGAGATGTTCACCGTGCTCGCGTACGGTGGTAAGTTGTAGGTATGCCCAGGTTGAAAGTACAATAAATATTTATTTTAGAAGAGATTTGTTGTACAAGGAACTTATTAAGCTCGGTTGGAAATTTTTTTAATTCTATAGGTTATTTTATATTTAAAGAGATAGTGAGAACATTCAAAATTCCTTGCTTTCCTGGTGTACACTAAGTATGCAAAGAAAATGAATATGCTATACTTTAAAATGTCCACATGAGAAGTTAATGCTATTCCCATGTAATGCATTCAGTTTCAGTTGGATTGATGCAAATTTTTCTTCTTCCCCAAAAACAAAGACACCATAGTGAGTCTACAGGGAGAAGAAACTCTATTAGCTAATAGCAAAAGCTGCTACATATTGACCCAAAGAATCCAGTATAAGCATCCTGACATCCTATACCCAATTGCAACAGAAGGAAAAAGAACAAGGCAAAGAAACACAACTAAATAGCAACCTAGGCAAATAGTAAATTATCAAAAGGACACCAAAGCTTTCACAGTACCCTTTAATTTTCCAGTTTTGTGTGTGCATGTGAGAGAGAGCCAATAATTAATAAAAACATTACAATGCAAGTTCCAAATCACCGTGGTAAGGAAAAATGACATAATCCAAATACATTTTCGTTTTCTTATCCTATAGCCTGTGATATGCACTCTGGTTGCTTTTTAGCGGTGAATGCAGATGCATAGAGGCTAGAAAAACGAAATGTTTGCAGGCAACTTTTTCGGTAGGAGGGTTTTTCATTTGTTAAGTTTAAGCTAGTAAAGAAAAAGGAGTTATGGAGGATGGAATAATACATGAGCAAAAATAGTCCTTATACTAAACGCTGAAAAAAGAAACACGGCGCAGGGAAATTTCTTATTTTGATAGATCTAAATTCACTCATTTTTCATGATGGAGTACACATGGAAACTATGATACCATGAGAACTGCTTTTCGACACCATACTCATAAAAAATTAGAACATTGTAGGTGTAAGCTAATTCAGGAAGGAAAGCTAAAATTTCATCCAGTTCCAGTTGATGCTCAGTAACAAAGATGTCCCAGAGATTATCCTTCTTTTCCTGTGGCATTTTTGCATAACGCTTGCGATGCTTGGTATTTCTATCCATTAAGCTGGCACCAATGAAGTAAATATTCACACACTCCCAAACACAAGTTAGCTATCAGCCAAAAAACGCCAGAACAATGGCAAGACATGAAGGTGATATATATGGCTACTTTCATACCACATAACATCTATAGTAGACAAACTATCCAAGCAAACTAACAGAAACAAGACCAACAAGAAAGGAATAGCAAATGATAGCAGAAAAAGTAGGAAAACTTGCAAAATAAAAACAGAAAAGACTAAACAAATTTACAAAAAAAGAATGAATGAGCAAGGAGGTTAAACAATAAAAGTCACATAGTTCGAAGAGTAGAAAGTGGCTACAACTCCAGGAGATACACATACAATCTACATGTAAGAAAGGGAAGCAGCACATCTAGTGCAGCAACAGTGCAAAACCAAGGAAAAAGGAGCAAACATCTAGTCTAAAAGAACCTGGATAGATAGCCAAGAAACAAGAAATATAATTTGATTAAAAGAAGTCTAAAGTAGAAACAGGAGGAACACCTCTTCCACCTCATGGCAACAAGGAGTATACCGATGCTGATGCCAAGAGCCAGAAAAAAGAAAACCAGGGGAGGCTAAGCAACTGGTACAGAATGAGCTGCATGGGAGGAATATAAGGTCTGAAGTTTGCATGAGAAATGAATGGAAAGCTACTTTCCATTTCCGTTCATGAAAAGCCGGGTGGAGAAACTTCATGAAAAGCTGCGAAGAGAGGCCTCACAAGCGTGCAGTGCCTATGCGTTACAAATTCGAGGAACCATTAAAGCGTCAAAAGCTAGTGTAGCCAGTGAATATATGGCTGTCCATGCACATGAAGAGATGTATATTGTCGGCCAGTGTTAGTGATTCACTAAAAATCATGTTCCTATTTGACATTCTTATTTAACCAATAAATCGGACAATAGCAATATTTAACATAACACAATTAGCATAATTACATGGATCATTGCCATGTCTCATGCACTAAACAAAAATTATTTAGCAATTTCTTATCTATCACACTATAAAGTAAAGGTAAGACAAAAATAGCCAAAACATGTACATTATTGTCAAGTGCTATTATTCCACTTAAATACAATTGCCTACAATAATTTAATATAATATATGATTGTAATTAATAAATCACAAAACTACAGTAATATGATATAATATTATTAGTAAAATTACATGGGCTATTGACATATACTATAGCTTGGGCAAAAGTTATCAAGCAATTTCGCATTTATCACACTATAATTTAATATAACATATAATCGTAGTTAATAAACGGCACAATTGATGATAATTTGATTAATATTATTATTAAAATTGCATGGGTTGTTGACATATTCTATAATTTGGGCAAAAGTTGTCAAATAATTTCCTATTTATCACACTACAATATAAACCAAGACAAAAATACCAAAAAGCTGTATAGGGGCAGCAAGTTCTAGTAATTCATTCAAGTTCTATTATCTGCTTTTAATAGAAAGCAAATCATCACTTCCCTGCTTTTAACAGCTCGATAGAAAGCATTCCGCCTTTCCATAAGGCTCTTAGTAAAGATGTAATAATTGCTGCTGGGTTCCAAGGATAGAGAGCGTTTGACGCCTTTTTTGGTTCCAAGGACAAGAGACGCATGATGCTGAGACTGAGTCCACAACAATAGAAAGAATAGGACAAAAGAAAGTACAAGTATAAATACAAAAAAAAAAAAAGGAATTCCAGGTCATGCTCAACTCTCACAACCCGCACGTGAGGAAGACATGGAGGACGACCATGCTTTGGCACCCTCTTCCCAGTTTATATACATTCTTTAAACAAAAGCCCGATTAATTTTACTGCGGTACTCTTTTTTTCCTTTTGTTTTTTTCGAGTGACCATTTGCTTTCATCTCGACTCGTCCGTCCTTACGTGTGCGTGTGTGGTCTAATTGTGTGCGTGCGTGGCCGTCCTTACATTTGTTTTCGGCCGACTTATCCGTTAATTTCATGTTTGTTCTAATTATGTGCGTGTGTGTTATTTTCAGCTTCTGAAAAAGATTCGTCCGTCCTTACGTGTCATTATATATTCATATATATATATAGTATATATAAGTTTGTACAGAATTACAGGCAACTCATCTAGTAATTATTTATATCTATATAAATTTGAGAAAAAATTTTCATCATGATTAAGCTAAAACTATAATTTTGTCTGTACCTTAGCATGGTTTCTTTTATTATTTATTGTAAATCTATATAAATATGAATAATTTAAATATAAAAATTAACAACAATTATACATGTTCATTCATATTAAATTTTAAAAATTAATATATTCTAAACGTTCAATTATTTACTAATTTTTAAAAATTTGTTTACATACTTTCATTCAACATATGAGAGTATATATCAAATAATGTATCCCATATCAAAAAGTTGGTAGATATTCTTTTTTTTATATATAAATATTC